AACCGTCTCCAATTATTTGCACTTCTTAAAAATAAGGAGATATATTACCAAATTTCTCAGTGAGAGAATTAACCAGGAATGCAATTACCATTTCCTTTCTTTTTTTTTTTTTTTTTTGGGGGGGGGGGGTCTTTTCTTTATTGGAACTGGAGATTAAACCCAGGATTTTGCATATAACAGCATGTGCTTTGCCATTGATCTACACCTCAGCCCTCAGTGGCTTCTCCCCCCCTGCCACCCAAGCCTAAATGTTTTTGTTTATTTAACTGTCCATCTACAACTACAAAAATTTTTTTAATGTTAAAAAAGGTCATATTATGAACAAAATCTTTTTTCTATAAGTACATATTTAGATTTTACTGATTCAATGATAGTCTACTGCATCTATCTACAATATAGCATTTAATATCATCTTCTTAGATCTCGTACTTGTTCCATATTTTCATTATTATGAAATTCTTCTTTAAATTCCCCTTCTAAGGAAATGAGATAAGGCTTTTGATATAGGTAAAACTCCTCTTTGAACACTTAACACTTTTCTTATGTGTATTAGTTATTTTTATTTCTTCTCTTACAAACTATTCATATACTTGTTCTCTTTTCTAAAACTTTTAAATCTATTCAAATTTTCCAGACAAATTTGAGAGTCCTTTGTGACATTTTCAAAAAGAAAAGCCAGTAAAACTTTTTGACTGGTAGAGTTAAATTTATACTTTGAATTGTACAATATTATCATTAAGAAATACTCGCCTAGCTTTTGTTGGATGTTGAATTCTATTAGAAGTATTCTGATCATCAGTTAAGATTATTTTGTTCTTTCCAGTATTTTTTTTTTTTTAATCAGACTACAGTTAAATAAGAGGGCAAATGACTTGTTTCTTTTTTTGTTTGTTTGTTTTTGTATTTTGCAGTACTAGGGGTTGAACCCAGGACCTTGTACATGCAGGCAAGCACTCTACCATGGAGATACATCCCCAGCCCTAAGAGAGTAAAAAGTTTTGATAGTAAACTGGTCTTTAATGTATCTTTATCTTTACTGGAGGAGTCATTACACCCCAAGTCAAATAAATTACACTCAAGGAATTCAGGAAAATTTTTTTTTGCTAAAAATTTGGATTACTATTATCATCCACTTCACTAAAGAAATGAAAAACAGGTAAAACTACAAAAAAAAAAAATCAAGCACAATAACATTAGGATTTACAAAAGAAATAAGCAAGGACATTATTAATTACCTTCTGAAGCACAAATTAAGAATGAAAGGAAATGCCTTAAAATGTTCAGTTATTTGTCTTTAGACCTAGTTTAATGACAATGTCACTAGCTATTAATTTTCTAAACTATCAACTTGGAGAAGGAAAAAAAAACACTGACGTTCTGCCAAATTTTTAATTTCAATAAATTAATGAATTACAAAAAAGTTAATTTCACAAAAAGAAGTTGAGAGTAGACTGGTTGGAGGCTGGGGAGAGTAATGGGGGAACAGAGGGATGCAAAAAAGTTGATCAGTGGATACAACTAGACGGGACTAAGCCCATAGATATTGATAATATAAAATGTATTTCAAAAAGTTGAAAGGAGGGGCTGGGGCCCAGCGGTAGAACGCTCACCTAGCATGTGCGAGGCGCTGGGTTCAATCCTCAGCACCACAAAAAATAAATAAAATATTGTGTCCAAATACAACTATATATATGTTGGAAGGAGTTTTTTTCACTATGAAGAAAAGCAGACAGATGTTTGAGAGACAGATTTGTTTAACCTGATTTGAACATTTGTTTTGTGTATACATGTATGAATACATCACATGGTAATCCATAAGTACATACAGTTTTTATGCTTTTAAAGATCCACTGAAAAGTTTAAATTGAAAAATTTTAATAGATTATTCTTTTTGAAAATATAGACAGAGTAACAGCCAAAGGATTGCTCTAGAGAAGTCTAACTCTTGTTTTCATGGCATGAAAATCAATGTATCCAGGCATGGTGACGCACACCAGTAATTCCAGCAGCTCGGGAAGACGAGACAGGAGGATCACAAGTTCAAAGCCAGCCTCAGCAAGGGTGAGGCATTAAGCAACTCAGTGAGACCCTGTCTCTAAATAATTACAAAATAGGGCTGGGGGTATGGCTCAGTGGTTACTGCCACCGAGTTCAATCCCTGGTACACCAACCCCAAAATCAATGTGAATAACCATCTAAAAAGCAAAAAATTATATGTACAACTGAATCAGTGTTGTTTAAGTCTATAATTAAGAGCAACCAAATAAAATTTTTTATGCATTAATACAAGAGTGCCTAATTTACTTCCATAAAAATCCTATTAATGTATCAAAATAACAACACAATAACATTAATGTGCATTGACAATGCCCATTGTTCCACTCTCAGAATGAACTATATTTAGCATTTGTGTCATAATTCTTACCATCAAGGGATTCTGCTGCTTTGGTGGCTGGCTATGGACACCGTTTGTTCTTTTCTTCTGATTAGGTGAATCTTGATACTGTTTTCTGCCATTTCCCCTCATACTCTATTTTCCCAATAAAAAGAAATAAAATGTAAATTTATTATATAATGTAAGAACACAAAATATACTTCTATGAATATTTGTAGCTAGATAGAATTCAAAATTTCATAAATCATCATATTAACGTATTTCCTTACAAAAGATAGTTCTTTACAAATAAAGATTCCACTAAAGGTAGAAAAGAGCAAATAGGATGGGCCTTGGGAATCTTTCCACATCTCTTGCCTTGTCCCACTTTTGCTTACAGATTTTATAATGCATAAATAGAAGCTAGGGGTACAACTAAGTGATACAGTGTAGTCAGAATGCATAAGACCCTGGGTTAAGTCTCCAACAACACCCTTACTACCACCACTACCATAAATAAATAAATAAATAAACAAACAAATGAACAAACAAATAAATAAATAAGAGAAAAAAGATGGAGGAACAGGTTTTGAAAACGCTACATGACTATTAAAGGGGACCTCTCTGTGAAAGGAACGCTAATGGGAACTGGCAACCGAATTTAGAACAGTAGTGGATGTGATCAGTTATCACCCTGAAAAATCTACTTTATATTTCTAATAAGTAAGCACTGTTGGATGATAACCTTTTAAGTACCTGCTTTTGATTCCTCTGAATATATACCTAGGTGTGAAATTACTGAGTTAAATGGTAACTTTAGACTTTTAGAGAAAACATCAGTACTGTTCTTCATATATTCCACAGGAGTGTACAAGCATTCCAATTCTCCACATTTTCATCAACAGTTGTTATTTTCCATTTTGTTGGTGTTATTATTCTTATTGGCACCCTAATACATAAGTGGTATCTCACTGTGCTTTGATTTGCAGTTATTTCCCTAATAACAATGTTGCAAACATCTTTTTTGCACTTATTGGCCATTGGAATATCTTCTTCTGAGAAGTGTCTATTTAAGTCACTTACCCATATTTTTGTTGTTGTTGTTGTTGATAGACCTTTATTTTATTTACTTATATGTGGTGCTGAGAAGGTGCTGAGAATCAAACCCAGTGCCTCACATATGCCAGGCAAGTGCGCTACCACTGAGCTCCAGCTCCAACCCCACTTACCCACATTTTAATAGGGTTGGTATTTTGTTGTTGAGTTGTTTACATATTCTGGAAATTAATTTCTTTCAAACGCATGATCTGCGAACATTTTTTTCCCATTTTGTAGGCTGTCTTTTCACTGTTTCAATAATGTCTTATGATGCACAAAAGTTTTTAAATTTTGACAAACTGTATTTTTTAAAATGATAACAAGGTTGGCACCCTAATGAATGTTTAAAATAAAAAAGATAGCCAGGCACAGTGTCACATGCCTGTGATCCCAGTGGCTCAGAAGGCTGAGGAAGGAGGATCAAAAGTTCAAAACCAGCCCCAGCAACTTAGCTGGGCACTTAGCAACTCAGTTGAGACCCCATCTCTAAATAAAATATAAAAAGGGCTGGGATGTGGCTCAGTTGTTAAGTACCTCAATTCTCAATACCAAAAAAATAAATAAATGAAAAAGATAATACCACGTGTGAGGATATAAAACACAACTCTCATATCTAGAAACAAGTATAAAACATTAGAAAACATCATTTCCAAGAACATACTCAAGAACACAGGCAATAAAGTAGCAACAACCAAAGTGTCCACTAAGCATGAATGGATAAAACTCTGGTATCATCATAAGCCATTTTTGCTAATCAAGAGCAAAAATGAAATTTTACAATACAATGTTGCATTTTTCTTGGAAAAAAGTCAATAGATCTATTTACCTTAACTTGGCAGCCATCATTTGTTGTTTTATTTTTGAATGAGCCTTTAACTAATAGTACATATACTAAAATCAGATATTAGTTCCTATTATTTGCTATACAGATTTTTTTTTCTTTTTTGGTACTGGGGATTAAACCCAGGGGTGTTTAACCACTGAATCACATCCCCAGCCCATTTTTAATTTTTTATTTTGAGACAGGGTCTAAGTTGCTTAGAGCATCGCTAAGTCGCTAAAGCTGGCTTTGAACTTACAATCCTCCTGCTTCAGTCTCCCAAATTGCTGGGATTACAGGCATGTGCCACCTGCCAAGCTGAATTTATAACAAAGTTGTGAAGGAAAAGGAATGTCCGCCCTGCTTCAAATCACAAGTCAGACACATCAAAGTCTTTGCTCGACAATTCAGAGCTCTATAATATATCATTAATTAGTCAACTAAGAATAATTTCATTGTTGTTTTTCATTTCCTCTTCATAGAATATTTTGCTAAGGATGTCCTGTAGTGCAGGTTATCTAGCTGTAAATTCTTTTGTTTATCATGTAAGGTTTTACTTCATCATCAAACCTAAAGCTTAATTTTGCTGGATACAAGATTCTTGGTTGGCATCCATTTTCTTAAAGGGCTCTCTATATATTGTTCCAGGATCTTCTAGTTCTCAGGGTCTGGGTTGAAAAATCTGCACATAACCTAATTGGTTTCCCCCTATATGTAATCTGATTCCTTTCTCTTGTGGCTTTTAATATTCTCTCCTTATTCTGTATACTAGGCATTTTCATTATAATGTGCCTTGGTGTGGATCTGTTGCGATTTTGCACTTTTGGTGTCCTGTAAGCCTCTTGAATTTGGTTTTCCAATTTGTTCATGTTTGGAAAATTTTCTGATATTATTTTGTTGAAGAGATTGCTCATTCCTTTGGTTTTAAACTCTAAGCCTTCCTCTATCCAAATAACTCTTAAATTTGGTCTTTTTATGCTATCCCATGTTTCTTGAATGTTCTGCTCATGGTTTCTTAACATTTTCACTGTGTGGTCTACTTTTTTTTCAAGAGTATATATTTTGTCTTCATTGTCTGAGGTCCTGTCTTCCAAATGGTCTAATCTGTTGATGATACTTTTAATTCAACTTTAAATTTGGTTTATTGTTCCTTTCATTTCAAAGATTTTGTTTGGTTTTTCTTTAGAACATCTATCTCCCTATTGAAGTAATCTTTTGCTGCCTGTATTTGCTCTCTTGTATCATCTTTTAATTCACAGAACATTTTAATTATATACATCCTGAACTCCTTCTGTGTCATTTCATCTGCTGTGCTGGCCATGGATTCTAATAATGTGGTATCCTGATGTGCTTGGGGCACTTTCTTCCCTTGTCTTTTCATGTTGCTCATGTGCCTTCCTTTCTAGCTCTGTGGATTCAAGGCGTTGCTGTTTTTACCCTATAGGCTTATAATGCCCCTGCAGGGTTCTAATACCTCTCCTTTGAGCAGAAGGACAACATTAACAGATCCCAATGTAAACAAAATACCATCTGATAAGAGACTCAGAATAGCTAAAGCAATCCCTAGCAAGAAGGGTGAAGCAGGTGGCCTCACTATATCAGACGTTAAACTATACTATAGAGAAATAGTTATTGGCACCAAAATAGACCGATAGATCAATAGTACAGAACAGAGGACACAGAGACTAACCCACATAACTACAGTTATCCTATATTAGACAAATGTGCCAAAAACATTCATCAGAGAAAAGATAACGTCTTCAATAAACAGTGCTGGGAAAACTGGAAATCCATATGCAACAAAATGAAATTAAACCCCCCTCTCTCACCAGGCACAAAACTCAAAAGAAGATTAAGGACCTAGGAATTCAACAAGAGACACTGTGCCTATTAGAAGAAAAAGTAGGCCCAAATCTCCATTATGTTGGATTAGGCCCCAACTTCCTTAATAAGACTCTTATAGCACAAGAATTAAAATTAAGAATCAATAAATGGGGTAGATTCAAACTTAAAAGCTTCTTCTCAGAAAAATCTTTTAGGGTTTGTGTTCTTGTTGAGGGGGTAGAGACGATAAAGCAATCTGTAACCAAATACAGGTGGCATATGGAAGTGGTAATGCTGATTAATTAGCATGCTGACTAATGACTATGATGATGTGTTGGAGGAAAGCCTACATCTTAGGAGCAAATTTTTGCCACTCACACAAATAGAGCACTAATCTCTAGGGTATATAAAGAACTCAAAAAGCTAAGCACCAAAACAACAAATAACCTAATCATTAAATGGGCCAAGGAACTGAACAGACACCTCTCAGAAGAGGATATACAATCAATTGACAAATATATGAAAAAAATGTTCAACATATCTAGCAATTAGATAAATGCAAATCAAAACTACTCTAAGATTTCATCTCACTCCAGTCAGAATGGCAGCTATTATGCATACAAACAACAATAGGTGTTGGCGAGGATGTGGGGAAAAAGGTACACTCATACACTGCTGGTAGGACTGCAAACTGGTACAGCCAATATGGAAAGCAGTATGGAGATTTCTTGGAAAATTGGGAATGGAACCACCATTTGACTCAGCTATCCATCTCCTCGGTCTATACCCAAAGGACTTAAAAACAGCATACTACAAGGACACAGCCACATCAATGTTTATAGCAAGCACAATTCACAATAGCTGAACTGTGGAACCGAGCTAGATGTCCCTCAATAGACTCTACCATGCGGCCAGCGCAATGGTTTCATTAATGAGGTTCTTGGCATAAAAGTTAGCTAGCGAGATCAAAAGAAAACACACAGACTCAGTTACCTTATTCTATGACCAGGTCCGAGACGGCTCCCCTCTCTGGCTCCCACCTCGAACCACCAGTAGGGCAGCAAGGATTACTCAGGGCTAGCAGGAGAGAGAGAGAGCGAGCACGCCAGGGAGTAGCCTTTTATTGGGGAACAAGAAACTCAGGGGAGAATTCCATCCAATGAAGGTTGAGGGGGGGCCGCACTCCAAGGTCAGGGTCAGTCACACCCCCACAGGGACAGGTTCTCTCATCAGGAGAGGGCCGGGAAAGTTCTGACACAGCCAGAACACCTCAGACCCAAACCGGTAGTCGCCCAATCACGTGTGAGAATGGCTCCTCACAATAGACGAATGGATTAAAAAAAATGTGGCATATATACACAATAGAATATTACTCAGCAATAAAAAAGAGAATAAAATCATGGCATTTGCAGGTAAATGGATGAAGTTGGAGAATATAATGCTAAGTGGAGTTGACCAATCCCACCCCCCAAAAAAACAAACACCGAATGTTTTCTCTGATATAAGGAGGCTGATTCATAATGGAGTTGGGAGGGGGAGCTTAGGGAGGATTAGAGGAATCCTAGATAGAGCAAAAGGGTGAGAGGGGAAGGGAGGGGGCACAAGGGTAAAAAAGATGGTGGAATCAGATGGGTATCATTATCCTAAGTATATGTATGAAGACACAAATGGTTTGAGTATACTTTCTATAAAACCAGAGATATGAAAAATTTTGTGCTCTATGTGTAATGAATTGTAATGCATTCTGCTGTCATATATAACAAATTAGAATTAGAAATAAAAAAGAATAACTTCAATGCCAAATGATGTAAATTACTCAAAAATTTTAAACGTATATCACTCACCTTTGCTTTTAAAAGGTCAGACATTTCAGAATGGCTATTGTATGGCTTTTGCTGCAGTGGCTGTCTGTGTTTTACCCACTGGTCGCCAGGAGAACCTTCAGGAAACAACTGCTGACTGTGGCGGAATTTGGTTCGACTACACCAAGATTTAAAAAATAAAAATCAGATGATAAAATTTTATTTATAATTTTTTTTCTCCTTGACAATCTGACTTATAGACTACATATTTCATTTTCTTATTTATTGTGCATCTCTCCCCAGCAAAATATAAGTTTGAGGAGGGTAAAGATTCTTGTCTGTTTGCCTATTATTTTATGCCCTGCCCCTAAAGAGATGCATGTTGTTGTTCAAAAACTTTCTTGAACAAATTATAACCTATTGTTTTTCATCCCAGATTTTTCTAATGATCCATATCATTTCCTTCCTCTAAGTATTATATTCTTTAAAATATGAAGTAATTCTTTCTAAATTTAGTTGAAACAAAGTTAAAGAACTATACATGAACTTTTTCCTCTAATAGAACAGACAATTCAGATTCTTACTAGAAGGCTTCAAGTATGGAATTTTATTTACACAGGTCAGTTATGAACTTACCCATGATACAAGAAGATCTGAGAAATAAAGCTATTTTCTAAAGTAAAAAATTCAGGGGCACAAGACAAAGGATGAGTAAATTAAATTATGATCCCATGTCAAATTATAAAAAAAAAAAAATCTGATTCCTGAAATAACAGTTTGCAATATCATATAAAAAATATTATTATAAGACATATATAGTCACTGATGCCCAAAACCACATCACAGTAAGATTACTTCAGAATAATACTTAAATGTTCTACTCCTTTTCCACTTAAGACCTACAATAAAACTTCAGTGTTTCTATCCTTTATTTAGATAAAATTGAGACATTTCCTCCAACACATCATCATAGGCATTAATCAGCATGCTAATTAATCAGCATTACCACTTCCATATGCAACCTGTATTTGGTTACAGATTGCTTTATCATCTCTACCCCCTCAACAAGAACACAAACCCTAAAAGATTCTCCCAAAGATGACATACACACATTTTAAAAGAAACACTGTAACGTAACATTTCATAACTTTTTTAGTAATTTCTTTATTTCCTTTTAATACCAACTGCGTTCTTATTCCTTCCACAGTTTTACTTATTTTCCAGTGGAATTTAATTTGGTAGTTATAATCATAGACTCTGAAAGGCAGAAACAATTCTTAAAGCATTTGGTCCAAGCTCTTGTCCTCATAAAACCCAGCTGGAATGAAGTGCTACATATGTGAAAAAAATACTAACTACAGATGTGGTTTACTCCTATTTTTTAATTTTTGAAGTTCTACAAAAATAAATCAGTACATGCAGATTACAGAAAAAGCAAAAATTGACTCCCTCTGAATTTAACAAAGGCAAAGTTATGACAATTTGATTGCAAAAATATATCCCTATCTAAGCAAGTTACTCCCAATTGACTATGATTGTGATCTGGATGCAATTAAGTTACAAGCAAGTAAATACTCTTCATGGTTCACATCCATGTAATAGTCTCTCTTAATAATACATAATTGATGCTAAGAAAGATGTTAAAAAAAAAAAAAAAGAAAAGAAAGAAAGCCCAAGTCTCATTTCTATCCTTGAATCTATTCATCAGCATCCTGTCTCCCTATACAAAAACAGACCTCAACATAACCCCATTCAACCATCTTCAGAAACTCATTTCTAAAGTAGAACATGAACATACCATAAACACACACTTTTTTTCCTTTTCCTAGTGTTACATCTGTCCATCTAAAAAGCTGGTATCCTCTTGGGTGTTCCATTTAAAAATGTGCCTAAAGCTACTTTCCAACTTCAATTAACCTTTTTCATCTCATCAAAAATGCTTTAAGGGGTGGGATTGTGGCTCAGCTGTAGAGCACTTGCCTAGCACATACAAGTCTGATCCTCAGCACCACCTAAAAGTATAAATAAATAAAATAAAGGTATTGTGTCCAACTACAACAACAAAAGGCTTTAAAAATCTTCTATTATTGATGAGATCAGTAACAAAATAGTACCTGTAAGAAGGAATCTTGTACCTCTACAAACTTTAGAATCAAAATGTTACTGTACTACAAACTCTCATGAATTTCATAAATATATTTCTTTACCTCAATTTTTCCACAGTGGGTTTAGCGGGTGTGCTACCAGCAGAGGAAAATCCATTATCACTATCTGAGGAATCCCCAAATCTTCGAGAAAGCCAGTCCCTTAATGGTCTATGGAAACATTAAAAATTTCACTTTTAAAATGTTAAATATCAGAATCATGAAGATTGGTTTTATATTTCAACACATACGAACAAACCTGATAAAGGGAATGGCCATAAAAAATTTGTTAGGTGCCAAGCCAAGTTTGGATTTGGGGGTCATATCATTTCTATGACAGGGCAATTTCTCAATGGAGAACCACTCAATATTCTGAAAGCCAAAAAAAAAAAAAATTCATTTAGTTAATTATTATCAATGACTTTCTAAAAGGAATTTCTCACATCATTCAATAGGATACTGTTCAGCAACATGCAAATATTCTCAACTGTTACATACCCGAATTTCTCTTCTAGTTTTTGGATTAAATTTAGTGTCTTTTGGAATTCCTGGAATGATGTACAAACGAGCAAGTTGATCATTGATCCGAAGTTCAATGTAATCATCCTTACAAATATAGTCTTTGATATCAAAACCAGTTTCTTCAAAGACCTAGAAATAAATTTGGATGAAATGTTCAATTTTAACTGTTATGACTCTAGTTCATCAAAATTTATTTCAAAGACAAAAATTCAGAAATATCCAGGTAATTAAAATGAAAAAACTAAAGAGAGAAGATTCAAAGTCTAGTTCTAGCTCTGCCTCTAATAAACTGATTATGGAAAAATCTATTTACTTTCTTAATCTATTAAATGAAGGCAGATGTTAGAATACATCAATGACTTTCAATCTGTAAAAAAAATACCTACTGGAGACCACATATAGATTTTATTTACAAAGTCCAAAAATTTGAATACATATCAAGCTACAAATACAACTATTTTTCAAACATGAAAGTTGAACTGTGATAGAAGCTCATTAAACAAACAGTTTCCAAAGGTAAAGCTACATTCACATTTGTATGCATGTGTAACTGGTATTGGGGAAGAGATAGCATTTATGCAAAAGAATTGAAAAGAACTGTGAGAAGTATAAATGAACTCATACTGGGGAAGGTGGAAAGACCTACATGGTAACTAAAAAGAGAAAGAGGGAAGAAATAAAAGGAACTGAATTAATGGTTCTAAAACTGCCTTGCCTTGACTATGCCTCAAAAGCTGAGGGAGTAGGAAAAAGAAAAACCAGGGGAATGGGAATTAATCTCGAGAATTAATGTTACATCTAAACCTTTCATTTTTCCTTTACCCAGAGATAGAAGTCATGCTTAGTCTGATTAACATACTGTAATTTGGTTTAAAATAAAAAATCATTACTTTATTCTAGCCTTAAGTCTCCATTTATTAACATCCACGTTACTGAAAAAGTTTTTCCCCATTTGACCTCCAAAATCTACAGGGGGGCTTGTGCATTCTCAGGGGTTAGAAACGACAGTGAATCTTTGATGACAGAGCTCTTCCTCTTCTCTATAGTTTTAACACCTCCTAACAAATCAGAGAGACAGACTAAACATCAGCACAGGCCTCTTTTTCAAGGTACAGTTATGAAAGAGCTACTTCTATCCAATCCTTTTGTCTTTTCCCTTTGTCTGATTAGTTATGTGTATTCTTTCTACTTTCCTCAGTAAGGGCACATTTATACTTCTCTCAGAAATGTGTGGTCTGGGACTTCCAATTAAACTCTCCAACACCCAAACCATTTGTATCATCATTTATATATACTCGTAAGCATGTTATACCTTTTGTTCTTAATTTTTTAAGAACTCGATGAATACGCTCACTTCAAAACTATCCTTTAGTAAAGACCTAGGAATAATAAATTTGGATGAAATTTTCAATTTTAGCTTTTAGACATCCAGTCCATTAAAATATATTTATCTCAAAGAAAAATTCAGAAAATGAGATTATTTGTATTTACTACTTCCAGAAATAAGACTAGATTCAGAAGTAGTATATGTTAAAAAATTGTTTTGTACTGTTTCTCTATATGTAACACTGACATTGCAGGTAAATATAGAAACAGTCTAATGTAGAGCTTATTGCTGAAGTTCAAATATATTAAAACAACATACCTTTTCCACATAAAATTCTAAAGGCTTGGTGTTAGAGGTTTTGTTGTTTCTCACTTCCCCAAGTTTTAACATTTACACACTTAAAACAATGTAAGCAAACAGTAAATTATGTGGATTTGTTTCATGACTCATGCATGCTGTCTGAGCATTTCCATTAGAGCAAAAGAACAACCAGATGCTTTGGTTTTTTCCTTTACTTTGAAATTAAGGTCTAATCTATTGCTTGAGACAGAGCTTAAAAATGTTTTGATGGGGTTAGGGGAACAGATGAGTATCAGAGGGTATGCTCAAGGCTCTGGGGTCAAACTCCCAACACCAACAAAACAAAACTCATTAAAATTAATCTTTATGGATTCTAATTACAACAAGACTAGTTTACCTAAAAGTTTACATGTCTATGATCATGAAATTATTTACATTTATAACAAGGCTAGTTACCTAAGAGTTTACATGTTAATGATCATGAAATTGTTTCTTTTCATCAATGATACACCATTAAGAGAATCAACAGGGAAAATATAAAACAGAAGGCACTTACAAGACACTCACATTCAGAATATATTAAAAATCTGTATATAACAAGAAGACAAGAAATCTGTCATTAAAGAAATGGGTACCACATAGATGGGTACTTAATGAATGAGACAATCAAACGATTAAGAACAAGGAAAGGCATTCAATATCCTTAAACTTCAGGAAAATGCAAATTAAAGCCATAATGTTACACACCATTACAAAAAATTTAATTTGATAATTTGATGTATAGGGCAGAATGCAGCACAACTAGAATTCTCCTACATTGCTGTTAGGAATGTAAATTGGTACAACCACTTAGAAAACTAGTAATAGCAGCCTCTCCGTGACTCAGCAAATCCAGTCTTAAAGAAATACGGATTTATTTCCATTAAAGGACATATATAACAATGTTATACAATGAATGTCACAGCATTTATTGTGGGGATTGGGGGATTACTGAGGCTGATACTCAGGGGCACCTAACACTGAGATACATCCTTGGCCCTTTTTGTTTTATTTTGAGACAGGGTCTTGTTAAATTGCTAAGGCTGGCCTCAAACCTATAATCATCCTGCCTCATCCTCCAGAGCTGCTGAGATTACAGGCATATGCCACAGCACCCAGGTCTACAACAGTTCTATTTATGGTAGCAAAAACTGAAAATAATGCAATGCATAAAACAGAGAACTGTGATATATATGTACATTGGAATACATAGAACAATAAAAAGAAGCAAGTACTAAATACATGCAACAACAGGGAGATCTCTTGGAATTAAATTGAGCTGAAGAAGTCAAACATAAAATAAATACTGTTATGGTTTAGATGTGAGCTGTCCCCATTTCAGAGGAGAAATGATTGGGTTTTGACAGTCTTGGCCCAAACAGTGAATTAATTCCCTGATAGGGATTAACTGAGTGGTAACCATGGTTGGTTGGAGGAGGTGGGCACTGGGGTGTGGCTTTGGGGGTATATATTTTGTACCTGGTCAGTGGACTCTCTTTGCTTTCTGATCATGTTAGCTACTTCCATCTGCCATTCTCTTTCCGCTCTGCCATGCTCTTCTGCCATGATATCCTGCCTCAACTGGAGCCCCATAGAATGGACCTCTGAAACCATGAGCCCCTAAATAAACTCTCCTCTACAATTGTTCTGGTCAGATTTTTTAGTCACAGCAACAACAACAACAACAACCAAAAAAAAGTGACTAAAACAAGTACCTACTGCAAAATTCTATCTGTATGAAGTTTAAGAGGAAGCAATGTAGAAGTCAAAACAGTGAGTCTTCAGAAAGTAAGGAATAAGTGGGTATTGAATGGGGAGGGTCAGGAAAGACTCCTCTGTGGTGCACCACTGGTGGTTTCACAAGAATATGCACATATAAAAATGATTTATCTGTTAACATTAGTGTAGTTCAGGTATTTTAGCTTCAAAACAAAAACAGTTCTAAAAATACCTCATCTATGGTTCTTAATTTTTCTTTTTAATATTTACCAGCTTGTTATTAAAGATACAGCTGAAGAGATGCATCTAGTGAGGTATGGGAGAAGGTATGCCATTCTTCAGGAAACTCTGTTTATTCAAGTAGCCAGAAGCTCCAGTTTGCCTCTTTAGTTCCCTTTGAGTTATCAGAAATAATTATACACAACTAGTCATGTAAAGCTGTATAATAATTAGAAACTAAACTAAAAGTAAACTGTGTAATACAAAATCCTTTGTGGGCAGACTTCTGTGATCTTTGTGTTACAAATACTATCTAACTGAATACATCATTAATTTAAAAAACAGTACAGAAGGAAGACTAAGGCACTACTTCAGATTAAAGGAAACTGAAAAGATAAATCAATTAAATGCAAATGTAATAAGTGAACCTAAGTAGGATTTTGGATGGGTGAGAGGGTGGAAACTTTTAAAGGATCAAAATGAGTAATTAGTGGATTTGAATATGAAGTGTCCATTACATAACAGTACCATATCAATGTTAGATTCCTGAATTTGATAAATTACAGGGCCATTACCCCAAGAGAATTCCTTGTTCTTAAAAGTAGTTAGGAGCAAAGGGACATTAGGTATGCTATTTCCTCTTGAAAGATTCATCAATAATAAAAACCATGCATATATTCAAAAGTAACAAAGTAAATATTGCAAAAAATTAACTAGTGGGCTGGGGATGTGGCTCAAGCGGTAGCCCGCTCGCCTGGCATGCGTGCGGCCCGGGGTTCGATCCTCAGCACCACATACAAAGATGTGTGTCCGCCGAAAACTAAAAAATAAATATTAAAAATTTCTCTCTCACTCTTTCTAAAAAAAAAAAAATTAGTGAACCTATTCTTTGTATTACTCTATTTTTCTCTATATTTGAACTCTCATTATTAATGCAGTTTTTATGGAGTCACATCTTACTAACATGTTTAGACCTTTCAGTAAATTCATTTAAATATGTACTGTGTGCTTAGTAAGTCACAGGTACTATCCTAAGCACTGAACTCAGGGATGAATAAATCAAGCACTTCCCTTTAAAGAGTTCAGTCTAAAAACGAAAAACATAATTATAAATCAATGTTAATACAAAGAGGTAGGAGGAGGTTACCTAATAGCTTTGGGCAGAGTTGTCATGAATGACCTATTCTGCTGGATACACTGGAGCTAAGACTTAAAAAGACAATTGAAGTTTGCCAGGTAGATTTAAAAGAAGATATCCCATTTAAACATACAAATGGCTACAGCCAAGAATTACACAGGAAGAAGAGGTATAGGTCAACATGAAAATAGCCACCAGCACTCACACAGGGTGCTTCAAGCCCTATACAACCAAATCCACATAAAATGAAGGAGCCCATCATCATCATCACAAAGAGAATTTCACTCTAGTACACTATTTTAAATTAAAAGCCCTTGCAGACCACGGGACACTGAAAAAGGCCTTATTCAATATTCCCCTATCTGCCTACAAAAACAGTTCCCCAAA